TGCAACAATCAGCTGACTTGTAAATTATTTAACTTTTTCTCCCAGTTGTTAGTGAAACTTTTCAGCATTAGACACATCTTTCAGAATCCTGCGGCTCTGTGCATGTACCCGGCAAGCATTTAATAACGGTGTGTGAGTTGTATTCTAATTGCGCTTGTGTTATGAACCCCTATTGTTTACCAGTTATTTTAATCAGCCTGAGGCTGGCCCATGTCCCACCTCTGCGTTACACTGAAGAAAAAACATTTAATAGACTAAATAAATCAATGACCTTTATAGCCAGGTTTAAGGACGACTAAAACTCTATCGATAGAGGAACGACCAGCAAATGTGCCACATGACTTAGTGTAGCACTATCTTCACTGGAGACAGGCAATAAAAACTATCACAGGGAACCATTATCCCTTTAAAGGAATATTTTAAAGGAAGTTCACTAAATAGTTAATGACTGCATTTTATTCCTGTCATTTGCATGACTTACTGTAGCGTGTATAACATTTTCTGTTCAGCATGACTACAGGCATTTCTTACAGCCTAGTGCGTGAGGCCGCTTTAGATTAATCGCTTAATAAACGATTAAATTCTGGCGTAGAAACCCAGTGTATTAGGCTACATGACCGGTATTTTGATTTGGCGCGAATAGCAGCCCGCATAGATATGTGAAAATGATTTAAATTCGATGATGAAAGACGATGTAGCAACTACATTGTGTCCTGTATTCTGCAGGGCCAGAGTGGGGCAGAGTCGAGCGTCCCCTGCGTTTACTACCTGCTTATTTTGATGCCGTGATTAGAATACTAAAATAGAATGTTACGTTTCCAAGGTTCAAGGCGAGTCGACTGCCAAGACCATTATGGCGACAATTTTATCAGATCTTAACCTGCTAATATATTTTAATCCCTAATATAATTCAGGATTAAGGTAAACTCAACGTGTAGATATAATACAAAAAATTGAGATGTAAGATACACTTGACGGTGTATATACTATACCCTGTGTTGCGTAATATACCGGTAATATAAATTATATGAATCAAGTACCATATACATGTATTAAGTTACACTCGCGGGTGTTGCAAGCGATACAGCAGAATGCTGGCTGAAAATATTTTGTTGTTGATGTTTTCTGGCTTAGGAGAATATTGAAAACTTTACACCAAGAAGCGAACATACACATTTAAACTCAGGAGCGGCCAGTGAACTGACGGGCAGCTTCATGAATGGCGGCCGGTACATTACTCCGCGGCCTCACACACTTAATATAGATCCATAGTACATGATATTTATATTTACTGGTGTGTTTGGTTTCAGAATAGTGATTTAAGTTGTATTTCGTTAACTATACTATCAAACTTTCTTTGCCAATTAAATACTACTTGTCTATCCACGTTGGTCAAAACATATTTAAAAGTTCATTCTTTGTTGAGTCTTCCACTTTCTGCTAATGCTTCCCTAGACTCTCTACTTAGATTCAATCATTCTCACTTACAAATTACGGGTTCATTCTCAAGTCGATCGACTTGAGAATGGTCCTGGACGGACCGAAACGTCGTCGTCCCTTCACCTTCTAGTGTGTGGTCTGGTCAACTTACTTTAGCCACGTTCTTGTGACTCATCGCCTGCATAGTTCCTTTTGATCTAGAAGTGATCTACTGTAAACAAAGTACAATTTGTCCTTAAATGCTTGAAAATGATTAATTCCATGAACTTCTCTCACTGAATTACATACTGTTAGTTCTAATATGTGATTAAGAAAGTGCCAGATTATTATATCAGGGTATATGTTCCTTGAGAATTTTTGCAACGTCATATTTGACACCAAGTATGACACTTGCCCCATCACTAGCAAATGCTACAAGGTTCTGTTTCAAATATGTCACCAAACCCTATTATAAATGAGACAGCTCAATAGATGCCTAGCAATAGTTGCTGCTTTCTGATCAGGTAATTCAATTAGATCTAAGAACATGAAATGGGGATTACCTTCATTATCACTTCCAGATTCGTACCAGTTCAATTCACTCTGTTTACTTTTTAAATATACAAAAATTTAAATATTGAATCTTAAAAAAAGAAATATAACATTATTAGCCTATTATGTGGTCGGTGATGTAATACTAATTATTTTAGATTAATTAGCATTAATCAATTAATACTAATTAATGCTAATTAATTATATTAATTAGTATTAAATAATTTAATACTAATATTTTCCTGCCACGATCACCCTTCCATAATCTCCCTTTCCCCTCATCCTTCTCTCCCTTTCCCCCATATATATATATATATATATATATATATATATATATATATATATATATATATATATATATATATATATATATATCATCACTCAAATTGTAAACTAAATGTTTTTCGGTTTATGTAAAATAAATTTAAGTTTAATGTACACTGCCGTATACCTGTTCAGTCCAGCGATTTGTGAGTTGCTACGACTAAAGCCACTGTATGTATGTTACGTTACTAGGAACCTAGTAGCTTTTACCTGACTAGTGCCATATCATTCAGTCATGCTACTCAGAACCTACTAGCTTTATCTACCTGGTTTGTACCATATTATTAGTGATGTTACTGAAAACCTAGTTGTCACTTCTACCTGAGTAGTATTATATCACTTAAGTCATGTTACACAGAACTTGGTAGCCTCTTCAACCTCACGAGTACCATATCACTTAGTCATGTTACACAGAACCTGGTAGCCTCTTCAACCTCACGAGTACCATATCACTTAGTCATGCAACTCAAAATCTGGATCTCGTATCTGCCTAACTCGTTGTTGCATGCGGGGGTAGCAAGGCTGAACCAGCTGTGGAAAATGAACTGGCAAGGCCCCTCTGCCACACTACAGGAGGCTACTTACTATCAGTAACTGTTGATGCTGGTCACTGTTGTTGTTGTTGTTTTAGATTCAGATTCTCGGGCCCAAAAAGTTCCAAGTAGCACAGACTATGACGAGCCCGTAGTGGACTTACCCTGCACAGGAGCGGGGCTGTAACTCTGGCGGTGGTCGCTGCACGCCAATTCCTTTTTATAGAAGGCAAGAGGTCTTAGCAGCGATATCTTTCACCTACTAGAATACAAAGTAGCTCAGATTATCACATTTCCCTGGTTATACATTTCTGCGAATCATTATGTCGCATGGTAATTAAATAATTAAATAACATGGAGTAGCAAACACGAGAAACCACTCAGCACCATCGCTGTTAGATATACAAGTACATCATAATATGTTTATTGTTTGTGATGTGTGTATATGTATGTATTAACACGATGTACTGAACGGGGTGAGAATAGCTTGAGCTACCTCATCCCTTTGTGTGTATTTTACCTCAGTAAACTTATTTCAATTTCAATTTCGGTACATCATCAAATTAATCGGTGATATCACTACCTGGCTAAGTTATCGTCCCTCCACAGGTTGATGGTATGACGGGTAATAGCTACACGTTTGCAGAGTTTCGAGACTTGAGCATGCGCTTGGGCAGTGCCCTCACGCGGCTTGATATAGGCCACGGGGATGTGGTAGCCATCGTGTCACCAAACTGCCCGGAGTTTCCAATTGCCTTCTTTGGAGTGGCGTCCGTTGGGGCAGTCAACACCACCATCAACAGCACCTACACTGCAGGTAACACTACCACATTATGCAATAATCTTGTTCTCTTTATTTTCTTTGGTTTTAAATGCATTATTGTTTATGTAATATTTGCGAACCTGCAACTTTGATATATCGTACTTACCTAATTGTGCTTGCGGGGGGGTTGAGCTCTGGCTCTTTGATATTGTACTCACCTAGTTGTGTCTGCAGGATCGAGCATTGACTCTTGGATCCCGCCTATCCCGCCACACACATACACAATGTGGATCCCGATCCACATTGTGTATGTGTGTGTGTACTCACCAATTGATATGTGTGTGTGTGTGTGCGTGCGTGCGTGCACACACACATTATATATATATATATATATATATATATATATATATATATATATATATATATATATATATATATATATATATATATATATATATATATGTCGTACCTAGTAGCCAGAACTCACTTCTCAGCCTACTATTCAAGGCCCGATTTGCCTAATAAGCCAAGTTTTCCTGAATTATTATATTTACTATAATTTTTTTCTTATGAAATGATAAAACAACCCTTTTCTCTATGTATGAGGTCAATTTGTTTTATTGGAGTTAAAATTAACGTAGATATATGACCGAACCTAACCAACCCTACCTAACCTAACCTAACCTATATTTATAGGTAAGGTTAGGTTAGGTAGCCAAAAAAAGCTAGGTTAGGTTAGGTTAGGTAGGTTAGGTAGACGAAAAAACATTAATTCATGAAAACTTGGCTTATTAGGCAAATCGGGCCTTGAATAGTAGGCTGAGAAGTGCGTTCTGGCTATTAGGTACGACATATATATATATATATATATATATATATATATATATATATATATATATATATATATATATATATAAAGTTTGTGAGGGTACCACCTCTGGTGCCAATGTGGGGACCCATAGCCTCGGAGAAGAAAATAAAAAGTATTCAGAGGAGACCTTGTGGTTTCTCACTGAACACTAATATTATCTTCTCCTACCACCCCCATTCTTTTGTATGTACACATATGTGTGTATATCACGAAAATAAACACGTGATTAAGAATGTACACATATATATTTACTTTATTTGAACTTTGTTACAAAAAAGGAGTTACATATGGGTTACAAAGATGGTTATCATAGGTTGTCGAGTTCCTCCAGCTCCTCAGATGGCGGGCAGGAACCCTGGATGCAGTGCGCATTTCCCCTCTGTATCGCCACACTGAGGCGCTGGAAAAGAAAGCTTGCAGCTCTTGGGTCCCTTGTTGTTTCAATGAGCCTAGAACCCAGTTCCTTCAAAAAACTATTTATTAAAAAAAAAATTATTTATATATATATTATATATATAATATATATAATATATATATATAATATATATATATAATATATATTTAAATAATATTTTTTTTTTTAATATGGAAGGGAGTACCACCTCTGGCTGGAAGAAGAGGGACCCATAGCCTCGGAGGATACCACACATAACGCATTAGAGGGAATGTTTAGGTCCCCTCCAATAGTTTCTCTGCTTTTCTCCTATCACCCCCTTCCTCTTGTGTGTTTTTATCATTATGACACAAAGATCTATTGGGAAGTGAAAACAATATTGAGGTGTTAAATTACATGAACTCTTCAAATAGCTAGAAAACTGGCAAATGCTTTTCAATATTGAAATGTGTAAGATCTTGCATATAGGGCATAACAATGCTCAGCATAACTACCATATCAAGGACACTGTCATGCAGCAGATAGATGAAGAAAAGGGTCTAAATGTTGTGATCGATTGGCAGTAATTTAAAGTTGCTCAATAAGTTTACTCAATAGTAAAAAAAATGTCAACCAAACTGACAAATAATCAAACCTTTGAATTCAAGGAAATATATAGCAATTGAGCTGTACATGCCCCTGGTGCACCCTCATCTGAACTATTGTATCCAAGCACTTTAACCTCACTTATAAAAGAACATATCTGTCTTGAAGAAAGCTCAACACAGCACAACAAAAATCATCCCAGAACTAAGTCAACTTTCTTACCAGGAACAGCTTAGGGGTCTCTGGTGTAACAACACTGCAAACCAGATACGACAGAGCTGATCTCATCGAGACCTATAAAATACTATACTGATCAAATGGAACATATTATTCCAGACCACTTCTTAAAAAATTCCATTGTAATGCACACCAGGGGCAACAGCTTTAAGCTCAACCTGCTATATAATAGAATAGAAAAATAGAAGATTCAGTTTTACCAATAGGGTAATAAGCTCGGGGAACAGCCTACCCGCTGAAGTTCTAAATGCCAAGACATAACTCCAGTTTAAATTTCATCAGGAAAAAACTCGGAAATATAGTGTGGGGACCTTTGACAAACCAATGGCTTCCTTACCCTGTCAAGGCTACTAAATAAGTTGGTCCTCAGGTAAAGCTAATCTTTATTGCTTCCTTGTGTGTGGATTGATTTAGTGGGCACATTACAAATTAGTACAGGGCATTTAGTATGTTGCAGTGATAATTAATCTAATTTAGATGCAATCATGTTACTGCCTAAAGGTCAAGTAAGTTGTTAACCATGCATTACAATAATGAGGTTACACAATAAATGCTCTTTTGAATATACAGTACATAGCTTAGTGAGGAAATATATAGTTGCATTCTTTCTTACAGAGGAAATAGCGAGCCAGTTGATTAACTCCACTGCTTCAGCTGTTGTAACACATCTGTATTTACTACCCAGAGTAAAAGAAGCCTGTAAAGTATGTAAAGATATACGTCACATAATTGTAATTGGACCAGCAGAGGAAGGACAGTTATCATTACAAGATCTTTTGAAGGATGATGGCACAGCATTTCCACACAATGTCCAGGTAAGAGTAGGTTCATCACTGCATTTTCTGACAATTTACTGTGCTATTCTTTTACACTTTATTTTCATTGTTAAGCAAAAGGAACCTGTCACAATAGGTGCCCTCAAAAGTACAGTAATGTGCTATAATTGCCAGCAATATGGACATGTGAAGTGGCCTGCCCCTTCTGCCGTGTGTTGATCTCAATAACTAAGAAAATTGTCCTCGATAACAGAACCACTTGTAATGTTAAGACAGGTTAAGACAATAAATACACAATATGGTAACTAGATGTTACAGTGGTGGTTGCTGCATGGTATAACAGCATCGTGACAAGGCAAGATGTAAGGTGCAGTGGTTTAGCTATGGTGGCAGTAGAGACTAGTCACAGTTGATGGGACCGAGGCTGGTAAGAGGTGATGTTACTGCTGGCTGCTATGTTGTGAGACTGCCAGTTTAGGTAAATCAGAGGTGTTGCTTCTGGCATAGCCATGTTGAGACTGTCTTGATGCCGCTGTCAGATGACCTTATATCCTCATCTACCTGATTCAGTTTAGAGGAAGGATTCATAGTAATTGGTTGATGTTTATAGCATGGGGAATTCCTGGAAAATGCATTTGTAGTACGTGGAATTCGTGGGAAATGTCATTTGTAGTATGTGGAATTCCTGGAATGTTTTAAATAGCTGCTACATAATTTCTAATGTAGTTGCTGCATACTAAAATGATGAAAGAGGGAGAAGGAAGATTGATAAGACCTCATTCATATGTGCAAGATGGAGTATGGAAGGTGTTATGGCTTGTAATTTTGGTTGCAGATGGGGGCCACACAAGCACGCACCAGGATATTCCTCTATTCGAGTTTTGATTTTGTCACATTCTTTGTGCTTTAGGATCTGCCAGACCTTTAGGTTCCTTATATGATAGTTATCTATGTGATAGTTTCAAAGTATATTCTCATGAAATAAATGAGCTTCTAGGAGCAGGCTTCTGATGAGCCGAAGTAGGATAACAGTTCTTGCTTGCAGTTTCACGAGGCACATCTTTTTACATCATTTATGAACCACTATATGCATGTTAGTGGCTTTACCAGAATGAACCACTTAATAAACATATACCGGGTAATTTCATGACCCATTGTACCTTCATTTATATATAAATTTGTAAATAAACAAATAAATCAAAGTTTGTTATTGTTGCCACCAGTAGGAGACAGTGTATTGTGCACCCCATACTCATCCTGCAAGCAGTAGCACAATAGGATTACAGAGGGCACAAATAGTCTTAATCAGACCTCAGTGGATATTGTTTAACATAACCTTTTACAATTTGTTAATACTTCTTATATTTAATTATAATAGCTAGTAGCAGAACACTTTTTGCACTGTAGCTGCCGTGTATGACAATACAGTATATTTTTACACATTATAGTCAAGTCATTTTAATGTTCAAATATTTTATATTACAGTGTAATGGAAGTGTTACTGTTTGTGATTTTTGGCTAGATGGTTTACACTTTCATTACATGTTTTTCCTTATCTATTCAAAGTAAAATACAGATACAGTGCAAGAATTTAAGACATTTTTTCATTTGCAGTGAAATTAGTTAACATTTCATGCAATGTAAGTTTAAGTCTATCTCTAAATGGCACAATTTTCATAGTATAAAATGTAATGCTGTAGTGTGTCTTTAACCTTTGTCTGCATACAGTTTAAACTTTGTCATCTAAATCCCCATATAAGCTCTATTGCCAGAGATACTTGTAGCCAAGTCATATTTGAGATGCGATAACATCTGTCAGTCTGGGGGGTAGAAATAGCCGAAGCTACTCTATCCCTTTGAGATGTATTTTTTTTCTTGTCTCAATAAACTTACTTGAACTTGAACTTGAACATCTGTCAGTCTATTTGTTTTATTACTGTATTTGACTTATATAAGTCTTCCATGTGACATATTTCATTGTTACATATAAGAAATGTATCTGTCAGTTCCAGTTTGTACTCTTCTGCATTCTTAAAATCATCAAAGAATTCTTGTGTATTGCTTCTTCAATTTAAAATCTGTAGATTCATTTTCTAAGCCTCTAACTCCCCTGATATAACACCAAATTGTTGAACTTGTTTTTATTCATTTGAAGTTGCATAAATGTTATTTACAAAACCCTATACCTTCAGATAAACCCACAAGAAGATATGGTAACCTTGCCGTATTCCTCCGGCACAACGGGACTGCCAAAAGGTGTAATGCTTACTCATTACAACCTTGTTGCTAATCTCCGACAAATTGTACATGATGGATTTAACACTCTAAGATATAACACTGGTAAAGTATTCTGATGTCTACCTTCATCTTTCAAATATTATCATGCATACATGAGAAAGTAACTCTATCACTTGGATTAATAGTATTTGCTAGAAAGTCTCTGGTTCACATTCACCTGGAATATTGTACATAAGCACAGGGATCTTGCCTTTAAACTGATATACAGTAACTGATTTGGAAGCCATTTTAATGCACCAATAAAAATCACCCCAGAACTAAGTCAACTCTCATACCTGGAAATTTTGGAGGCTTCAGGACAAACAACACTACAAACCAGATATGACAGGGCTTAGCTCATTGAGATCTTTTAAAATACTAAAAAAAGTTTGAAGATATTAAGCCAGACACAGTTTTTAAAAGATCCATGTATGTAAGACACACATGGGGCATTAGCTTAAAAGCTCAATGAACCACAATGTAGAACACAGGAGATGCTTTTCACTTATAAGATAATATGGAACATTTTCCTGCTGATGTCATTCCTTCAGTTTAAAATTTAGCTGAAAAAATCCTTTTGACACTGCTGACTTCCTGTCACTATTGAGGCCACTAGCTTGGTGGCCATCAGGTACATTCAGGTGAAAGATACTCTGTTGCAGGGGATGGGAATATTGTGATTGTCATAACACAATCATTGCAATAATTAGCTGTCAAGATTATAATCAACACAGTACTGATGATTATTATGACTTGCATTTAGTATTTTTCTACTGTTTCAACTGTTACTTCTGATTTTTTGCAGGTGACTCTCAGGAGGTGTTCATGGGCATTCTACCATACTTTCATATATATGGAATGGTTCCTTGTATGGGACTTTCGCTTATTACTGGATCCAAAACAGTAACACTGCCAAATTTTGACCCAAAATTATTTATTGATGTTTTGGAAAAATTCAAGGTAAGATTATCTTTGTCAGTGGTTTACATACATGATTGTTTTCATTTATATTTTCCATGTAAATACAGGTTAAATTTCAACACAAGATTCTCATTTTACAAAATTGTCCTATTATGAAGTTGTAATTTCTGTTTACAAATATACAAGTCTTCTTCAAGAATCAAAGTGTTGCATTAACATATTTCCAGACAAACTTTACATTTAAGATCGGCTATCTCTGGCATGACTGCAGATCTCCATCTTATAGGGCAGAAGTCTCCTTCTGCAGCTTTCATTATTCATTCCTGCAAGGAATCTTCAAATGACTTTTTGCATGAATAGTCACAACTTCCTGATATGGTAAACTATCATCATCCAGGTCTGAACACTCAAGATTACTTGCTAATTTCACTTTAAACAACCTTTGTCCCTGTTACATAGTTTAACCAATCATCTGATATGCACCTTTTCCAGTTTGTTGATGTGCATCTTAAAATGTGAGCACCATGCAACCGCTGCATATTCTAGTTTTGGTCTCTCAAAGATCGTGAACAATTTCTTTAGTGTTTCACCATCCATGTATTCAAAAGCAATTCTGAAATTGGAAAGCGTAGCACTGGCTACATGTAGCACAATGTTCTGTGTATGGAGTCTGCCTCCACCACATCACCTCCTAATGCTTTTCATTTATTAACTACTCGATACAAGCTTAAAGTATATATTATTATATACACAGATTTCCTGTCCCCAATAAAGCCAATGAATTGCCATATATAAGGCCACTAATTATGGTCTGCATTTTGGATAATTTTGGAGAGAATAATAAAATAATAAATAAATAAATAAATAAATAAATGTTTATTTAGGTAAGGTACATACATACAAGAATTTTTTTTACAAAGATTGGTGGACTTATAGATAGAGCTAGTATATACAATGCCTAAAGCCACTATTACGCAAAGCGTTTCGGGCATGAAAAACTTAAATGACTAAAGCTTAATACTAATTGAGCATAAAGAGTAAAATGAAAACAAGAAATGAAAACATAGCTGAAAAAGCAGCACAAATACAATTCTGTCGACAAACAGCGCTCTTTAAAAAAAAAACAGACATTGGTTGACAATAGAGGGGTAAGGTAGGTTACAGGGAATTTATTAGGTATAGCTTCGTTTTTATCTTAGATAAATATATTATTATTATTATTATTAACTATATTATTTTTATCTAATAGAATAAGGTTAACTGTATGTTAATGAGAAATGAGTACAGTCCAACATTAATATACAAGAAACCTTAGTTATTAAATGAAAGCAAGTTTGTAACACACAATAATGTAGCATTGTAGCATACATTTACATTATATACCGGTACTTTAAATATCGTAAAGTACTGTATATGCTGGGCTTCATATTGAATTTTTAAATATTTTAACATTTTTAGTATTTTTCAGATCACATATCTTCAGACAGTACCTCCAATTGTTAGCTTCTTGACTCACAACCCCCTGGTCAAACGTGACCATCTGGACCCAGTTCACACCTTGACCTGTGGGGCTGCACCAGCTGGCCCAGCGCTTATTAATGACTTCTTTAAGAAATTTGGTAACAGAATTTGTTTCCAAGAAGGTGAGTGATTAAAATAAATTTATTTAATAATAATAATAACAATAATAATAATAATAATACTGTAGTAATAATAATAATAATATAATAATAATAATAATATAATAATAACAATAATACAGTAATAATAATAATACAGTAATAATAATAATATTTTATTTAGGAAAAGTACATATATAGATGCAGAGTTACAAACATACTGTTGGATTTAAGATAAGAGCTAGTACATACAATGCAGGCGATGAGTCACAATAATGTGGCTGAAGTATGTTGACCAGACCACACATTAGAAGGTGAAGGGACGATGCCGTTTCGATCCATCCTGGACCATTCTCCAAGTCGATGTTTCGGTCCAGGACAGACCAAAACATTGTCGTCCCTTCACCTTCTAGTGTGTGGTCTGGTCAAAGTACATACAATACTAATATGCCACTAATATGCATAGCTTTTCGGGCAAGGTATGAAGGAAAAACACTTAGACTAAAACTTAATAGTAATAATAGTAAGTAATTGGGAGTAAAGTATAAATTGTGTTTAAAAAAAGGAATAAAAAAAAAAGGAAAAAAGGGGGGAACATGGAAAAAATCAGCAATTGTACAAGATGGTCAACAAACAGCATTGTTTAGAATAGCAAGACTTGGATTGATATTTAGGGGGGTAAAGCAGGTTATATGGAGTTAATTAGGTAGTACTTAGTTCTACTCTTAAACTGGTTGAGAGAGGTACAGCCTTTGATATGATTAGGGAGGTCAAATTATTACTGTACAGCATTAATAATAATATTACTGTACAGTAATAATAATAATAATAATAATAATAATAATAATAATAATAATACAGTATGGTAATAATAATAATAATAATAATAATAATAATAATAATACAGTATGGTAATAATAATAATAATTTATTATTATTATTATTACAGTATTATTATAATTTTTAAACATTTTCCTGATTAATAGCATTTGACATTGATAGATATATTTAGAGTCTGGTTAGTACAATTGGGTTTGTTCTCAACTCACAGTCAGGAATCCCAGGTGGGGACTGGAAAATTAGGATTAAGGACCTGCCCGAAATGCTATGCGAGCGCTTTGTCCAAGGTTCGTATCCTGGCCGAGGAGGATTTACTGGGCGCCAATCCTTAACTGTAGCCTCTGTTTACCCAACAGTAAAATCCCATTTTACTGTTGGGTAAACCTGGTTGTTTTGTTCAACGATTTGGCGAGTCGTATTCTGAGGAAAATGGGATTAATGACTTGCCCGAAACACTGTGTGCTTGTGGCTGTACAAGAAAATAAGAACTCTTTCATATATAAATAAATACTGTATACACAAAAAAACTATACTTCATTGTTTTTTGTTTGCAGGCTATGGAATGACTGAAACTTCTCCAGTGACACATGCAACACCCAAAATCAATGGCGTACTTGGCTCTGCTGGAGTAGTTATTCCCAATACCATGGCTAAGATTATTGATCTTAATACTGGCAAAATCCTTGGACCTGAGATGGGAGAAGGCGAACTTTGTATAAAAGGACCACAAGTATGTTTTTTTATGTGCATTTTGTTGAGCCAGATTCATTTTAAAAATACAAATAGATATGAACAAACAAACTGAATTTGGTGAAGTCCAAGTGGCTGACTACTAATAAATTCACCTTTAACATTAACAAAATATACTACATATTATCTGGAACAAAATTTGCCAGCAAAATAGATACAGTATAAGAATATATGATACCCAGAGTTACGAGCAGAGTGGTATATTCTGTTTTGATGTATTTAAGACCTTTAAAAAGAGGTTTCTAATTCTTTGGATTAACTAACAACCTTCTCTGTGTGTATTCCAGTGAATTTATGTTAATTCTTCAGTAGAGTGACCAAATATGAACTGCATAACCTAAGAAGGGCATGATAAAGTTGATGACTAACATTAGACATCTTAATGCCAGTGCTTCCAGATATGAATTCATAATTCTATTTACCTTGATCCATACATTTATACATTATTTTTTTGCTTAACCCCTGCACTGCGCAACGTGCTTTGAGGCAGTCGAAAGATGGTGCGCAACGCGCCTCGGGGCGTTCATAAGTATAGGGTACGATTCAAAAGCGGCACGTGGTGACGCAGATATAAAATGGATGCCTGAGGCTTCCAGTAAACGTCTGCCATTTTGAAAAAAAATCCCAGCATGCCCCAGGGTCATGGGGACCCTCAGTTTCAAGGAAGCAACCATGTCTTGTCGCATCGTCTACGAGCTCTCAGTCCACAGTCAGCCACAGTCCAGCAAAACGAATCTCCTGGGATGAAATACGGGACATATTGCATGATTATGGACCAATTGATGATGATTTAGACTACAGTCCTGAAAAAGACCTAACACAGGGGTCGGACTCGAGTGATGGGGAGTGACCGAGGTGGACAATGTCGCGAGTGTGTACAGTATACTCACCTCGCCCGGCCTGCTTCGCTGCCCTGGGTCAACACCGCTAGAGTTACCATCACTATGCATGTCCCCTGATGTGAGTTTATTTGGTGATACTACATGTGATTGGTCATTTTCGGGCTTCAGTGATGTAGGCTCTGATACAAGAAGTATTGATGAACTGAGTACAATCAGCGATGGTCTTACTAGGCGAGGTTTTACTGCCCCAGCAACATGCCCAGGCAAGCGCCAGCGTGTCACGTGGTCTGAGGACAAAGATGACAGTGCCTCCTCGACATCAGGTGCTCATGGTAAGCCTATAATATGCAGAACACTCTCATCTTCTGGCATTCTCATACCCAGCTCTAGCACAAGACGACGGAGCAGTATTGTTGGGGCCCATGCTGGTGGTGCTCGTGCTGGAGTTGGCCGTGGTGTTGGCACCAAACCACTGGTGTACTTGTGTGGGAGGACTGTGAGATTTTTGTTCCACAAATTCCAGCATTTGATGATACCGATGTTGGTGTGACACTCTTATTTCCCTATACTGGTGATGATATGGCTGAAATTGATTATTTTATGTCATATTTTGATCAGAAATTCGGGGACCTTCTCGTTGCAGAGACCAACAGATACACTTACAGCCTCATTGACTCGGGCATTTTACCTGCCTCTCGAATGACACGTTGGAAAGACACGACAAATAAGGAAATGTATGTGTTTTTAGAGTTGTGCATGATGATGAGGCATTCAGATAAATAAGTGATCCAGGATTATTGGAGCAAAGATAGCCTTGTTCCATCTCCAGTGTTCAACAGGTACATGTCATGTGATAGGTTCCTGCTGCTTCTCAGGTGCCTGCACTTTGAGAAAAATGATAATGAAGACAGACACGACAGACTGTGGAAGGTGCGGAAGATATTTAGTGATATGAGAGGAAAGTTATGTGACTATTTTGTACCAGGACAGAATGTTGAGACTGATGAATCGCTAGTCCTCTTCAAGGGATGACTGCCGTTCAAGCAGTACATTCCATCAAAGCAGCACCGGTTTGGACTCAAGTTTTTCATGCTATGTGACTGCGAAACTGGTATTGTCATGTACATGATAGTGTATTCAGGTACAGATGTTGACATACCATGTCAAGATCCGTACGGGTTCTCAGGCAGTGTCGTGAAAACACTCATGGAACCGTTGCTGAACAAGGGGCATATCCCATTCACGGACAACTACTATATCAGCCCCTTGGCATATGCGGCACTGTCAAGCCCCTCAGGAGGAAAATGCCAGCGTTTGGCATTGGTATTGCAGTGTGTGATTGCCAGCTGCAAAAGTGTGAACAAATCTTATCAGTACGCTGGAGGGGACAGACGCGAGGTGAATATGTTGACAACTATTCACACCAGTGCCATGCTGGAGAGTGGCAAAGTGAACTTTGCAACACGGTTCTCAATATATAAACCTGATTGTGTCATTGACTACAACGTAAATATGCGGCTAGTTGATAAATGTGACATGATGGTTGGTGCCATCATGTACAATTACACGATTGTACTTCAAGGAGAGTGAAGTTAACTTCAAATAAAATTTCAGGTTTCAAAGAAAATGAAGTTAAGACTATGGCAGTACAGTGGCACCTCGATTAACGAGCGGCTCTATCTACGAGCATTTCAAGTAACGAGCAAGCCACTCACAGAACATTTGTCTCTACTAACAAGCTTTTCCTCGATTAACGAGCATTTCCGCTAATTCTCGGACATCTTTTACGACAGTTTTGTTGTTGTTTCGCAAGACGAGTTTTCCACATGACGAGCTCGGTGCCAGAACGGATTAAACTCGTTAATCGAGGTGCCATTGTACTGTATTACCAAACATTGTTTCGTCCAGGATGGACCGAAACGTTGTTTGAAGTACAATGACCCTTGACCCAAAAGATATATGTGTTTCGGTGACCTAACACACGTATCTTTTGAATCCTAAATTAAATTGTTATTAACATCTTACTATTAAAATGATATTATTATAATTATAAAAAATTCCTTAGGAATAATATAAAAGTTTCTAGCTCAGTAAGCCTCAATATGAGACAGACAATAGGAAATTCTTTACCACCCATAGAGTAATAAACCCATGGAACTGTCCACCAGCCAAAGCTAAACAGTGCTACGTTCCAAAGTACATCTTGAAAACCCCTTACAAAATAGTAATTATTGGGTAAATCAGGTTAAATAAGGTAAATTATAATGGTAACTCACAGTATGTAGTGTACATCTATGCCATACGAAGTGGTAGAGCTTTGCTCTGGGGTAGTTTGCTGGATCCAGAACAATAGTGTTTTGGCTACGTGATGTCATGTAATGAGGAAGATTGACTGAATGGGTTGGTGTTTAGATTTTTTTCTATCCTTCTGTCCCTAAATTGCTCTCATATTTTATCTGGGCTGATTCCACCCCACACCATGAAACTGGAGAATAAACAAATGATACTATTATTTTCCCAGGTTATGAAAGGATACTTCAAAAATGAAGAAGCAACAAGAAATACAATTGACAAAGATGGTTGGCTCCATACAGGCGACATTGCCAGAATTGATGAGAATCACAATGTCTTCATTGTGGACCGACTAAAAGAGCTCATCAAAGTAAAAGGTTTACAGGTCAGCAATAATTATACACTGCTCACTAAACTCTTCTGAACATTGTTCTACTCGTCATATTACCCAAATGAAGCCTAAGAGACCCATAATTTGTTAAATTTTTATTGTTAATATCTGATGAGTGTAAAGAAAAATTGCTCTATTTTTATTACAAATATACTTGCCTTTAAATATTCCTGTATAGTTGATGATCACCCAAGAAATAGACATTGCTTGTGCAGTATCCCTGTGGGCCAGGGATTCGATCCCGGGATTCCAGATTGTGAGTATATATATGTATCAGTGCATGAATGTATGCATATATCAAATAAAGGAAACAGCTGAAGGCCTATTGGCTCATGTGAGGCATTTATGTCCACGATGTAAATAATAGCTTGCCAGTTTCCTTAGTTCTATTGTTCTTATTGACACACATTTTCCTGAATTTTCATTCATTCATACATATATATCAATGATAAATGAAACATGTCTATAAATATATGAATGAATGAATGAATGTATGTATTTACAGTATCAATAAGAACATCAAACAATGGAAACTGCATAAGGCTTATTGGCCCATACAAGGTAGCGCCTATTTATATCCACGATATAAATAAGAGCTGCTTCATATAGACAGTAGGCCTTCTGCTGTTTTCTTTGTTTGTTGCGTATATACATTCCTTCGTTTATTGATACATTCATACTCAATATCAGGAATCCCTGGTTCAAATCGCGGACAGAACAGAAATGGTTTGGCACATTTCTTTTAACTTAATGCCTTTGTTCACCTAGCAGTAAATAGGTACCTGGGAGTTAATCAACTATTGTGGAGTTGCATCTTGGGGAGGGTCAGTAGTTTGACCTTGGGGACCTCGATACAAGTCTAAAGTATATGTGTACATATGCTACCTGGCTCTGGCAAAATAAATTATCATAATTGTTATTATTATTCTTTGATACATTCATTGTAGAATTGAATACATTATAGTTATTAATGTACAGAATCCATGTTTTGTAAATTAGATGTACATAAATCTAGTTATTCAACACAAATACGATAGTGAGTAAACTAGTAAGTGTAAAAACGATCATCTAGACATTCAAGGTTAGCACTAAGAGTCATCTGGCTCAGTCACCGTGAGTAGCTGATGCAAAGTCTGGTGTTGACAGCTCTGGCTGGGCAGCCACGTGGTTAACTTATACAGTGCACAAAACTGGTTACAATGAAGATACTCGGTTTACTTTTCTGTACATTTTGTATATACATTAATTATTTTATAAGGAAAAATATTTTTATTTATTTTTTACCATTCCATATTCAAGATGGTTTTACCATAGTCAAGATACACGGTATAGAGTACCTATGCTTTCCACAATCAACTGACTCAAATATGCCAGAAAAGAACAAGAGAAAATTTGTTAAACTTAAGCAGGCTTTAGTAAAGCCTTTAATAATGCTGTTTGTGCTTTTTAAGATGTACAGTATATGAATGGCTTTTCTAATTATCAATTCAAACAGTTATTATATAAAAGGCATTAAGCTAATTGGCTAATAGTTCAACATAAGTGATCTATTCCCTTTTTAACCCTTAAACTGCTCACATTGCCTGCAAGTAATAGGGACAAGTGCGCTAATCACCTGTGAGGAGATCAGATGTGCTGTTCATAATATTCAAAAGTCCTAAAGATTCTGTGTGGACATAATTCAACACTAGAGATCTACAGGACTGTAATCGCTTATTTGCCTCTTCTCTGGTAACCACTGAGCATATCTCTCCAGGATGATAATTTGAGTAAATCATCATTCTCACTCAAGTTCATCTAGAATGTAATTATTGTTGATGGAGGATAAAGAGTTAACATGTTGAACTTTGTTGATAATAAACTATAATAACAATAATAATACAGTATATAATAATAATAATAATAATAAATACATGATTGCAGTAAAATTTTAATGCCACTAATCAAGTAGCATTTCTATCATACAATGAATCGAGACAAAATTTGTAGATCATTGTGGAAGAGTTGAATGGATAAGCAGAGAGAAACGTTTGAACTGTGCATTAAGCATTATAATTGTATTGGTAAATGTGTTAGATCTGAAGTATGACAGACATGAACAATTAATGTTTGCTCTGTATAACTTTCTTTCAGGCATGAGATTTTATGAAATAAAATCATACTTAGCATTATATTAATCTCTGGATTATGTTATGGCAGATTAGGATTATATTAGTGTTCTTCTGGCGAGCTGATAGCAAGCTTACTAATTTCCTAAGTGTAGCTACACCATGAAGGCTATGCTGGTGTCCCAACTTATCCATAATCCTTACCATATGTACTACACCATTAACCACACATATTATCAGGGGGTTTTGAATATTGCTCTGAATGTCACTCTTATGCAGACTGGGTAGGTGGCTCCTCCCTTCTAATTAAACAGACACTGTTTATCTTTCCAAATTAACTCATGAAATGGCTTGGATATTTAGATCAAATTTTTGGGTATTGATAATTTTATTTAGATCAAATTACTGTATATCAAAATCACCTGCAAATACTTATTTCTTAAATTCTTGTTTTCAACAAGGTTGCTCCAGCGGAGTTGGAAGATCTAATAAGGAAGCATCCAAGTGTAGCAGATGTAGCAGTGATTGGTCTTCCTCATGAAAGGTCAGGAGAGGTACCAAGAGCCTACGTGGTATTAGTGCCTGGCTCAAATATATCTGAAGAATCCATTGCTGAGTATGTTGCTAGGGAGGTTGCTCCTCACAAACAGCTCTCAGGAGGTGTAAAGTTTATTGACATCTTGCCAAAATCTGCAACGGGAAAGACTTTGAGACGTGAACTGAGGGAAATTGCTCTTGCACAATAATAATTAATTTTTTTTATAATATATTTTTAGTGTTTGAGTTTGTGTATCTGTAGTTCACTGTCTTCCAATGCACTGTTTATTATTTTGTCACTAATATAGTAAAAGATCACTAATTTTTGTTCAGTTTTTATGAGTTTTAAGATTACACCTTTTTATATAGTAATGGAAGTACAGTACTGTACATATACAAATTATGTATCTACAAATAGTATTCCTTACAGCTATTATTCAGTTACTTTCAATTTTTTTTTAAAGATTAGGCATATATAGATATTTTACAGTGTACCATACAGCTATTATTACAGAGTAGCCTTCAAATAACAATGCAATTAGTTTATTTAAGTATATAGGTGTACTGTAATTACAAAATGTTATTCTTTTGTTTATAGCATTACAGGATCTTTTACACCTGATGACAGGGTCATCCATAAATATTCTCATGTGTCAAATGCTTCGTATTTTGTCTTTTTCCATATATTTCTGTTCGCTTATTCTGGAAATCTAGTTGGACTAGAAATTAAATATTTTATTTTAGCATCTACACATACAGTGGAACCTTGGTTCTCGAATGACCCTCTTGTAGAATTTTTCTGTTCTTGAGCTCAATTTCTTCAACAAATTTGACTCGGTATTTGAGGTTTGCCTCGGTGATTGATGATACATTTATGGGCTGACCGAGAACGTGGCGTGCTTCAGTTTTCCGCCTTGTGACAACTTCACTTGAATTCGTTGTGAAGAATTTCATTGTTTTTGTGTTTTTTTTTTTTGGGGGGGGGAGGTTTCTGAACAAAAAAGTTCATATTATATATCATGCCATGGATTCCAAGAAAATCAGTGGTAAAGTTCAACCTAAGAAAATAGTTGTGAGGATGACGATTGAGGAAAAACAAGAGATTCATAGTGAAACAATGTGATGTCTCACTACAGATAAGAACATAAGAATAAAGGTAACTGCAGAAGCCCTTTTATAACCACCCAATCTCATCCATATATATATATGTTTAACATACGCTTGAAACATTCAAGGAATCCTTCTATTACATTACGCGGTAATTGGTTCACGGTAGATAAGTGTTAAAACGTAGGGAAAAACAAGTGTCTATAGACAGATTCTTAGTAAGACAATTAAGCAGTGAGCCACAACCAGGTCCTAGTGGTATGCTTGCTAAACATAAGAGAGAGAGAGAGAGTTCTCCAGAAATGTCATCACTGCTGTTATAATGGAAGGGGACTCCCTTTCCAAACACTAACACCTCTCGTCTTCCCCATCCCCCCCTTCCTCACCATCTTCCATACGCCAACAAGAGTCCTCAGTAATGGTAAGATATACTTGTACATACTGTAGTACGAAATATAAGTAGTAGTATGTATAAAATGTACCTTTACATTAATATTTTTAGGGGTGTGGAATGGATTAATTCAATTTACATTACTGTATTTTTTATGGGAAAATTTGTTTCGGTTTTCAAATTTTCGGTTTTCGATCTTACTCTGGGAACAGATTAAATTTGAAAACAAAGGTACCACTGTACTAGTATAAGGCATGTTTTGTAATCAAGGCCATTTTCAGACCTAGGCCTAACATATACTTTTCCATAGATTCCATATACAGTATACTACTGTATATTTTAATCTTTTATTTACTTTTGTGCTCCGTATACATGTGTCTGATGCAAATTATTTGGCTTGGAGCTTCATTTTAAGTTGTTATTTTGCTTGTTATAGGATCATGATATTAATCCTTCTGTTATTTACCCACAAATTTATCTATACTTTAATGCATAAATTCCTGTAATTACACTGTTTTTTTATATATATTTTCACAAACTGTTTATGTGTTAGTTGTTTTGATAAACCAATAATTTTTTTTTTTAAACTAGGTAATTCTACCCTGGAACATGAGCCATTAATTATACTAATTTACTTGATGTACCCTGCTACTAGTGGCCTTAGAGTAAGCTTACTCTGTGCTACTTGCAGCCTTTACTGCAAGAAGACCTTTCAAGCTTTAAGATGTGGCCTCTTGTAATCATAACAATGCATAATAATTTAAGTTCAAATTTTCTATTCTGTTCAATAGAAAATTTAGACTACGGTTATTTCTTCAGGATGTCGATTATTGTGCATACAAGAGGCCACTTTGGAAGTTATTCTATAGAACTGGTAAGAGGAAATACTTCCTCCTAAGAGTAAACCTGTAGCATTGGAGATCTATTAGACTTACCATAAATGTACACAGCAACCTCTAAAAATCTGGATCTTGGCATTCCTTACCCAATCTACATTTTTTAATAATCCCATTTTCCAATTCAATTTTTGTGGGTTATCAAAATTTTCCATAATTTTCATGTAAAACTCAAAATTAAATTAAGCCACAGAATTTTACTTAAATATGCTCAATGGCATTACCAAGGCACCAACTGTTTTACTTTGTGCTGCAATCATCTATGATCATCTATGAATGCAGCATGAAACCCAAAATACTTGAAACACTATGCATGTTAATGGCTTTGCAAGAATGTAGGAACACCAATGTTATGTACTCTCACAAACCCAATGTACTTTTTGTATATAATTAAATAAAAAATATCTAAATAAGTGAACATTTATTATTATATTTTGTTTATTTATTTACATACAAGAAGGTGCATTGGGTTTGTGAGAGTACATAACATTGATGATTTTACAATCTTGCAAAGCCACTAACATACATAGCATTTCAAGCAGGTTCTTAATCTAATGGATAAGGTTAGAGTATTAGTAGGTACATTGTAACAAAATTAGAGTTCAACATTGGTAAAATACCATATTATAGGAGTTGCCACTCATACGCTAATTTTTCCCACGTTGATGAATTTCACTGAGTAGAAATGTTAATTTCAACATATGATATGATAAACATCTATCAGAAGAACCTTCAGTAAAGAGGTTTTACTACATCTGGTATTTTTACCATGTCCCAACCTCTAAACCTTATTTTCAAATGTAGCTGGGTTTTCGCCTGAGTGATTGCCAACTTAAAATGTGAATAAACCATAGAATTTGGTTACAAATATGCTCAATGCACCAACTATTTCTCATAGTGTTGCATTTACAGTGTTTATAAAAATCTTTAAAAAATATCAGAACCATATGAAATGACATACCCAACATATACCCATATAAATGACAGTGTATACCCAAATTTTCCCTCCACACTATTCATGAATGCCAGTGAGCAAAATTTTCATTTCTACCTATGATATGATAGACATATACAATACTAGTTCTTTAGATAGATCTATTTTGTAGAGGTTCAGTATATTTCTTACTTATAACCTACAAACTTTAAAAAAAAAAATTATATTGTTTTGATGTTGGGGTTAAGGCTTATCAACTGTACAAGGGGTGAGTGGCTTATTAAGGCCATCACAATATACCTCTCAGCATGTATATATACCCTATTGCTTTATATTTTTAATTTACACTTCTTGATGCGTGATGGCTTAAAGAATTTTTTTTTAACTAATTTAATACTACAGTATTTTCACTACATATTATTAATTAATATTGACATTGATTTTATTCTTTCAATTTTTTAAAGATGGTATTTTACTTAGGTTTATAGTTGCTATTAAAAGGTTTATCAATTTCAGGATACTGAAAAGATCTTCAATCTGTCTTGATGTACTGTAATAATCTCAGTAGGACCTGGGCTGTGTTATGTCTACATTTAAAGCTGTGAATGGAGTTTGTCTCCACCACTTCATTTCTTAGCACATTCCATTCGTTCATTATTCTGACAGAAAAAATTCTTTCTATTGTTTCTGTGGTTCATCTGGGTACTCAGTTTCATTGTGTCTCCTTGACTGTGTACTGCACATGCTAAATAGCATATTCTTGTCTGCCATGTTTATTCCACTGAGAATTTTAAGAGGTGATCATGTCTATCCTATTTCTTCTCTCTTCCAGTGATGTGAAGTTAAACTCTTTAGTCTTTCCTCATAACTGATATTTTTCAGCTCTGGGACTAGTTTGATGGCATACCTCAGAACCTTCACTAACTTCATTTTATTTTAACATTTTATTTAACAGGATAAGGACTCCACACTTGTGCTACATATTCTAGAATTGGTCTGACATTAATACAATGCTCTGAACAAATCTTAGTTCAGATTTCTAAATGCAGTTCTTATGTTGGCAAACCTTCCATGTGCACCTGATCATATTTGCTTGATGTGAGTTTCTGGTGACAGGTTTGGTGCAATATCAAATCCTTCGTCTCTTTCTCTATCCAATTCCAGGAGGATTTCCTATCCCATGTGATACTTGCATATGGCATACAATTCCCATTACAGTACTACTTGATGGATTATTTTTTAATATTGTCTAGGTTATCCTGTAGTTTCTTGCAGTCTTTAGTCATATTCATCCTCATAATTTTTCTATCAGCGAACATTTATTGCACAGGTATTCCTTTATCCATTAGAAGACATTCACTGTTACTTCTGCCTGTTTGTTTTTTTAGTTTTGTTTACTGGTCTGTTGTGGAGGTACTCTGACAAAGGCTTTCTGACTGTCCAAAAATATACAATCTGTCTACCAGTCCCTATCTTGTCTGATTTCAGTCCCTTTGTTATAGAACTCTACCAAGTATGTGAGACAGGTTTGAATAATCCATAAAACATACTGGTGTTGTGTTATGAAGACTTTAGATGTTCTACTAGCCTCTTTCTTACAGTCTTTTCCATCAGCTTGCATGATATGCAAGTAAGGGACATTGGTCTGTAGTTTAATGCCTCCTGTGTTTTGCCCTGTTTGTATATTGCCACTACATTGGCTGTCTTCAAACTCTGGTAGTTTTCAGTTTTCAGTGACATTTGATATAATGTAATAGTAAGCTGTCAACACAGGGCCTCTGAGCCTTGTCTTACTATCCATGGCGATATCTTATCTGATCCCATCGCCTTAGTAATGTCCAGCTCCGGCAGGTGCCTTCTTACTTTATCTCTGGTTATCTCAAAATCCTTCAATGCTACTTGGCTTGATTTCATTTCCTCAATTCAGGAACTTTTCCTTGCTCTATTTTGAAGACCTAGAATCTCCTATTGAGTTCTACAAACACTGCTTTGTCATTCTCAGTGAATAAGTTTTCTGTCCTCAGTTCCATCACTTACTCCTTAATTAACTATTCTTTTCCTCGTGATGCAGCTGTGAAGAAACTTAGGTTGGATCTTTGCTTTAGCTGTAATGCCACTTTCAAATTGCTTTTCTGCTGTCGTTCTCAATGTGAGGAACTCATTCCTAATACTCTGGCACCCCTCTCTACACTGCTTTCTTTTATTCTTGTAGTTTTCATATCCTGATACTTGTACACGTTGCTTCCTCACATCCTTGGTTAAACCATGGGTTAGTCCTGTGCCATTCATTGTCTTTTATTTGGAGAGAGACAAATTTGCCTGCTGCCTCCCAAAATTTCTCATTGAAGAAGTCCACTATTTCATGTGAGGTCTTTCCACTGAGTTCAATTTCCTATGGTATCCTCGACAGACTGTATTATTTTCTCATACATTTCCCTTCGATAAGCCAGCCTTCTACCTCCTGGTTGAACAGTGTGTCGGTGCTTCCACAAGATACTCAAATGGCATTACACAGTGACCGTTCATTTCTAAAGGGGAGTTCGAAGTTGACTTCCCTTAATTCTGACTCATTCAATGTGAATATTAGGTCAGGTCTGAGCAGTTAAATATTTTCCCTTATTCTTGTGGGGCCATTGACATG